AAACGCGAAACCATTAGTTTACTCTACTTTCCAACGTCCGCCCGATTCGACACATGAATATCGTTGCTGGTTTCCAAAAAAAAAAAAAGATAATCTTTTATTTTACTCTATAATCTTTTTCATCGCAAGTGTAACTTTCCATCTGTAACATATTAACCGTGAAAAAGTATCAGAGTAGTTAATATATAACTAAATTATTTGTTATTACTAACAAATAAAGAAATACTTCATTTACTGTAATATTATTGTATAGTTAAATACTTTAGATTTAGCTTTTTTGTTGTTTTTATTTTTAGGGTATTTATTAATTTAAAAACAGAATACGTTTCGAATGTTTTTACTTTACGACAACAAATGTTTCTACAATCAAACTGCTAATTATCTCCGACGTTAAGACTAAAAGCAATTAATGTAAATAAGCAAAACAGCTGCCAATATTTACCCCTTTTCTAAAAGCATATTTTAGCACCGCTTAATGCATACTTAGCCTAACAAAACAAAAGTGGTGGTGGGCAATATGTCATTCGAACATGTGAACTGTCACTTATTAACAATGCTCGAAGTACATCGGTGGTGAAATTGTCGCCTATACAACGTAAGCCGTAATTAACCTTAGTCTTTTATTGGTAACTAGCTACCCGTCCCGGCCGATGTATTATACATATAAACCTTCTTCGTGAATTACTTACTCTATCTATTAAAAACATACGTACCGAGATCCGTTGCGTAGTTTTAAAGATCTAAACATACATAGGGACAGACAGACAGCGGGATGACTTTGTTTTATACTATGTAGTGACATCCCATCTCGTCGATGGATTCAGCATAGTTCGAGTTATATATTTATTATATAGGTATATATTTATATTTATCGTTATAATATATCGAGATTAGGCTCTATTATAAGAACATAGCAATAATACGTGCACATAATAGGGCCTAATCTCCACACGGTTAAGACCATAAACGGTTTTTTTACATGAGTAGCGAGCAATGCGGGGCTCATCTGATGTTTACCGCGCCGACCGTGCACTTTTGCAACACCCGCAAGGCTGCAGATGCGTTGTCAAATTTTAACGGAGTGGACCCCGATTTCCTCACTTAACACATGAAACGTAGGAATATAACACTACCACTTCACGAAGGTCTTCTGCGAGGTCGTGATACTTCCCCGGACGGACTTGCCCATTCGTGCAACGGCTAAGACCATTGCGTGGCATTACCACAGTAATCAACAGATTTTTGCCTTCGGCTCGAATCCCCAGCGAAGTCAACAACGCAGGCCCATCATATAGGTGGGGATTGTGTACTCTGCTGATAATAATTTTACTAACACGCGCATGACGATTTGCGTGTTTGTTCCTTTTGCTATTTACCGTTCATATAGACTGCGATAAGAGATCCTACCTCGTGGGCAGGCAATCCCTGTACTTTGTTAGTCTACATGGGCGACGTCACATCTGAAACTCACATATACCTATGTAGAAATTGTCACTAACAACATCATTCTTTATCAATCCGTGTCTCTAAAGTTAATAGAAGCACTCGCGTATCTGTGCTAGAGCTAGCCATGTTTGAATAAGCTTGCATAGCCAACACGTCTGATAATACCGGGCAAGAAGAGACAGCTTTTAATAGCCGAAGTTTTCTAAATTAAAATCTCAGGTGCACGATATTAGGACTTCGACGTTCGCGCTCATCGAAAGTGGCAATTTTATTATCATCACATGAATAGACGAAAGACGTTGTAGGCATTACTCAGTTCATAAACACCGAGGATAGCCTGAAGAAGAGCAGCAGAGGAACATTGGGCCCAATCTCCACTTCGTTTTGTCTGTTAAATGGCGTACACCGCACAAACGCACAGCTTGTCTGCACCCAAGTGGTCACTCTGCGAAATTACATCATGCTAGCGGAAATCCAGCGAAGGTCGAGCCCTTTGCTGAACCCAGCACTTTCTATTTACACCGATAGTTACGTGTTATATATATCATTAATACGTGTCTTTGATTGTGCAGTGGGGCGGGCACATTGACAGAGTGAACATACAAAATTCAGCGATCGATTCAGCGTGATCATATATACTGTTTAATATTTTTGCAAATGTTATTTTAACCCGTGCATGCAATGTAATGTAACAATGAATAAATAAAGGATTGAAAAGAAATTTTTGACTTTGGCTTGATTTTCATCATCACCGAGGTCTATAATTCCGTGAACATCCGGAGTATTGGTAAAGAGGTGAGATAATGTTAAATGTATTCGTGGAATGATGTGAGAACAATATGGGATATTATATGGCAACTGTGTTCTTTAAAATGTAAAGTGAAAAACCCGGTGTGAACAAGGAGAACAATAGATCTTTTCACCGAACTACGTAGGAACTTGCGGATATCAATAACAAATAATTAGGCATTTGCATGCTGGTCTTACAACTCTGGGATTCTATGTCAAGGATTAAGTTTGCATGAAAATTGGGTGCTGTTTTGTATAATAAATATATATTACTTACACTTTCCAACGAATATATTGCTAAAATATTCCTATCAACGGACTTGTCGTCCGGTTACACACAGCCTATTCTGCGATCTAAAAGTTCTTTGCTAAAAAAACAGAGTGGCATGTTGCACATGCCATTCTATTCAATCTATTTTATTTTGAACGTTGTATGCGAATTACTAATTACTTTTGTTGGAGTCTAGTCTAGGGAGACTAGTTACTAGTAGACTTAAGGGTAACATATAAACATGTGCAGGATTATTAAGGAAAAACTTAATCGCGAAAACGTTGTAGCGCGAATGAATCTCGTTCTTGATTAACCACTCCGTATGATTAATCCAGACCGCTAAAGGACATCTTTTACTAAAATGATACAATCAAATCCAACAGGTTCAATCTCTGCTAAACGACCAAGACGTTACACATGTTTTCACATTAATTTTGCTCAATATCTTATTTAATCGTGTTTATTGTAGCTATGTTGTAACTAAACTGAGATACAGCCCCACTTGACTTTTCTAACATCTATCGGGATCATTTGAAGTTGCAATAGATCAATCCCCCTGAAGGGAAATCGCATTTGTAACCTGGCCCTCGATCGAATATAAAAATTGCACTCTCAATTTGCTCTCTCCCGTGGCCGCAAGGGGAAACTAGTTAGAGGCGTTATCGGGCAAACTTTTGGAATGTCCATTTTCCGAATAGTTTTTAATAAAACCGTACTGTGTAAACGGCATCGGATCGCTGAGCGTTGGCCCTTTAATTGACTGAGCGTGCGGCAGAACAATGGGCAGAGAACACGCGGTGTATTTATATTTTTTATAACGCGAAAGGGAAATTCGAAAAAAGTAAACAGATATGCGATACGAGCATTTTTGTATCTGATTTTTATAAAGTATTGAAACTTAAACGGGGACTTATTCTAATTGGATTTGACTTTGTACCCTGTTATAAGTATGAGGGGAGTAATCAATGTAACATTGAATATTTTATATCATTTCGCGAAAATATAATGTATGCTTTTTTACTGGCACAGTCTGAACGGCTGTGAGTGAGAAAGTTGTTTCGATTTCAACGTTGCAAGATATGAAAATATACGTCATTAAAATATATCAAAAATATCAACAAAGAAACGAGCGCGATTTGAATAAGTTATGAGAGCAAAAGAGAAAACTAGCAATACACTCGACATTACCGTGCCATTGAAACATCGGTGGTTTTATATTAACAAAGTTCCACGACAACATGCATTTGTATCGTTTTATGTCAACACATAATCGAATTGCACGGAAGTGGGACCATAATTAGGGACCGTTCTTATATTAACATCACAGACTAAAATAACTGGAATGCTGATACGACTGCCTGACTGAGACTTTTCCGAGCCAGTGGTATTGTATATTGTGTTTCTTGTCTCCAAGTTGCTGGTATTGTTTCTAAACAACTAATACTGTGTGTAACCGTTAGATCATGGTGTGGGATTTGCCTTACCCCGGAGCTCGAGTTTACTAATCAGAGGACCGAAGTCTAACTTAGTATTATCGCTTCGCTACCATTGCACAGTAATAATTAAAAAGCGAATCAATCCGAGCTCGTTATATGCTAACATTAAGCTCAATAACAAAACTGACATGAAACTTTTCACGTTTTGTTCTATATGGTCAATGTAAGCAGTCGGGGTGACCTACGGGGACTGTTACCTTTGCACGGTGATGCCGCAGTGCACATGTACTTGTAAGTATTTCATCGCATTAATCATATCTCACTAAATGTGTAGAATTTAGAAGCAATCCACTGGATTTGTGAAATAGGCTGTCGTGGAGACGATCGCTCGGGGCGAGAGTGAACAAAATTCGTCCCCTACCCGACACACAAGTTACATAAACCGCGCGCGTAATGCGCGCGAGTCGAGAAACATAAACAAATAACTGCACAGTGTTGTCAACACCGAGTGAAGGAGCCAATACTGCATACGGCCCATATTCTGCTGTACATGTCTACTGTCTGATTAAACTATGATCCGTATAAGAGAAATACTAACATGATAATCATTCCGACGCAATACTGGGGCGATATGGTGTACTTGACGGGCAACGAGCGATTCTTGTCTGTCACCCCTGGCCAAAAGGCAGGTAAGAATTTTATCTATACGGTCCGAACTCAATGGCGGAGAATTAATATTTGGGTAAGTATCGTTGTGAGAAAATTGCTGCTAACAAATAACGCTCAGTCTATTAACATGTGAATGGGGGCATGGTTTTAGATTTATTTGCACGCTAATCCGATGATAAATTAATGATCACGGTGAAATCTATTGGTCGAAGTGAAATAGATAATTAATTAAACAACTGTCATGGGAACTCCTTGAAACTGTGCGAAGTTTGAACAAATCGATTCAAATTTCCTTGCTTATTATCGTTTGCCATTGTCCGATACCTCGTATCTGTAATCGCAAAAATAACGGCGCGCACTAAACACGTGCGCCGTTCATTCATTCATATATGGCACGCTTCGCGACAACCGGCAGTAATGCGACATCGCCCCTATTTGTAAGCAGCAATTTGTTGTTCACTTGGCACGGCGGATGCAAGTCCAGTCGCAGCGTAACTCGGAGCGGAGTGGATGCAGTTGCCCGGTTGATGTGCGTTACAATTTCCTTCTACAATACTTCTAAACCAACGCCAGAGACGAGGCTTGCCCGCTTCCCCCACTCCTTGCTTGTTAATTATGCGAACGCTTCCTTTATATTAGAAACTATTATGTTGCCTTTTTTATCTGTTCTCCATTTTACAAGCATTTTTTTTTTTTGTTTAGACGTTACGGTAATATCCGCTCATGTCAATTCGACCGGATGTAACGCGATCCGCCGTAACACCGTTGCCTAGAGTCGCGTGGCATCGCTATCCGCGAAATGGGATTCCTTGTCCGTGCGCACAATTAATGTCCGTTTAGTCGTTTCGAATGTTCGAATGAACTTTCTCTAGGTTCGTCCGAGAGTTCCGCTCAGCCGGCGCCGACATATCGATACTATACTTAGCGCGGCGGTGTTGCTCGTCATTTTCGTCTAGCAACACTAGACCAACCCCGACCGAAAAAAAAAGAAAATGCGCTCCCCTATGTCGTTTACGCGAAATACTCGCCACGTTGCCCTCGGCGCTGTATCTGCCGGCGCGCGCCACGTTCGGTCCGCGTGCATACATCGCCCCCTTGAAGTGGCACCATTCGCGCCAAGCGACAAACGCGCGCCGCAATGGAATCCAACTAAGCCCTAGCGTTCGAGGCGCGCCGACCGTCGCCGAGGGGTTGCTTTGAGGCGGTAACGCCCCAAAATCGTGAAGCTACACTTACGCAGTACATTCATCTCTTTCCCCCCGCGCATCCCCGTTGTGACCGTGATTTGGTTATAACAGAAGCTAGTGCGGAGCACGCTGAGCGGCGTTCGACGAACGGCTTCGCTCTGGGCTGTCGCGAATTTCTACTACTATTGTTAATTAAACGTTCAGTGTAGGACGCATTTGGTATTGTCGCTTAGTCTAAGACATTTGCCGAGTGAAAGTGTCGCGCCGGTGGCGGTGTGGTGGCGCGCGGTCCGTGCCCCGTGCCGTCTGCTTATCGATTTTCCCAACGCTGCATTAAATTACAATTTGTATCGCGGATGCGGACCGCAAACACCGCGGCCAGTATGCGTTACGCTCACTCGTTTTACAAACGTACATAGATTAGTTTGGCTAGTTGGAAACGATTTTGCCTAAGCGGTATTTCTACTACGCGGGGATTGTTTGGTAGTTTGTGGGGTTTCAGTTATGTTACGCGCGCGATAACTTGGTCCGATAGGAGGGAAGCGCGCCCACCCGGTGTGTTATGCATTGATCGAGTCGAGGGCCCGCTCTATGCCCGATGATCGCATCGCCGCTCTTCTGGGAATGGTTCAACATTTGGCTGGCGCAATTTCTGAAGGATCTGTATCATGAAATCAAAATGGTCGCACTAAGGGGCAACGGGTACGTTTCGCACGGTGTGCAGTCGGAGCACTACGCGTCGACCAATAATGGTATCGGGAACGGTAACGGCGGCGGCGGCATGGGCGGCGGCCAACGCGTCCCAATGCACTACATGCAGCAGAGTAGCAAGCACGAGCCGTCGCGCTACGGCAACTGCGTGCCCACCAACAACAACTACAGGCTACTGACGCAGTCCCGTAAGTGCCGGCATCGGTGCCGGTGGCCCTACCGCATAGATAGATCCTTTGCGTACGACGGTGCACGCGTAACGCGTTACTTTATTTATGTATTGTTTTGCTTCTGTCCATTTCCTTAGCGCTGGCCAGTTATCCGCGGGCGTCGACGCCACACAGTGAGTACCGGGGCTCCGGGGGCACGGCCCGTGGGCGCGACCAGGTCGACGCGAGCTGACCCCGCTGTTCGGTTTCAGGGGCGGAATGCTACCATCCGTCGGGGGCCGGTGGCGGCGGGTTCATGGCCGGCGGGGCCGCCGCGCAGCAGAGCCTGCGCGCCCAGCCGGCACCGCAGCCGTCCGCGCCGCCAGCGCCCCAGCAGGACATGTCCAAATCGAGCATGGTGAGTCGCGAGCACATAGCGAGTTGAAGGCGCAACTGGGGACATGGACACTGCGATGCTGTAGACTCCATCCCCCCAGTCGTCCTTCAGTTACACCTCGAATGGGAAATGCACGGAGGCGTTTCCCGAACAGCATATATTTTTGTTTGTGACGCGATGCAATGCAATATACAACGTAAATACAAATAAAAGCTACGTACACTAAGCTACATGTAATGCACGAAGCGCGGATTTAGATAATAAGATAGAAGACGTCTAGACTGTGGTGTATTCCGGCCTTCGCATAGCATGGTGACCCAACGCACAAAGTGCGCCGGCTGCCTCAATAGTTTAACTTTACTGCAATGCGTTACCGGGAAAGCGACCGCTCGGCGATCATTACCAATGGCCCAAATAGAGGGTTAACCTTGTACGCGCTGTGTGCACCCGAGAAATCGATATTGGAGCACTTGACTTGTGTTTCCAACGTTCCCGCGTGGGCCGTTCCGTTGCGTTGACGTCACAGATAGGAAGTAGAGGATTCCAAGCAACCAGGAGCAACCAGGAGCAAGCAACCTTGCCCAGTATTTTAATTTCGACTTTTACGGATTCGATTTGACGTTAATTAAATTAATAACGTAAATTAGTAAACAAATCTGGCGTCGTGTTTAAATCGTGTCGCTACCGAGAGATCTCAATGGCTCCTTTAGTTATAATAAATAATAACATTAAATCTTTCCGGACATCGCACAACGTTACTTAAGTCCCAAACTAAGCAAGGGCTCTTCTATGGGTTACAACGTAACTCATAAAAATGCTATTCATTTGTCAATTATTACATAATAAAGGTTTAAAAGCACCCAGACACTAGAAAAACACGAACAACGTCGGATGAATATTTAAAATGAAAAAATATACAGAGGAAGAGAGAACTTCATAAAGCATTTTATTAAAAAAGCCCGGCGGCGTTTCAAAGTGAACGAGTAACCATCGCTAATAGAATAACTGGTGTTTACATCCCGACGAGTATCTATGCAAAGTTGTATAAAACTTTGCGCCCGCCGCGCTCCGGTGCTCTGTGAAAAACGTACTATTTCCGAGAAGGAACTTTTCAGCGCGAGCGGGAATGTATAGAGAAATATTGGATTACTTTGTCGACGTTTTCAATATTTTTTTCTCTTTTTCGCCCGGGAATTTGGCGACGACGGAATGCGGCGTTCACCTACCCTTTTAAAAATCCCGAATTGTTTTTTTTTTTAACAATCGCCCTGAATGCTTTTGTTTCATGAAGTCGGATAAAACTGTTTGAACAGATCACACGATAGCTCTATTGTATTCATTTGTATTGTCGCGATTATGTCAAAATGTGTTATTGTGGAAAAAAATTATTGAACCTGCAAATCTTTAAATAATTTGAAACGTAACTCGAAAGAGAATATACGAAAAATCAGTTAATGAAAAGTCAGCTAGTTTACATTTGAAAGATCAAAATGGAATTTTGTTTGCTTCGTCTCTGTATGCGTTCCCACAGCTCTAATCGAATATGGGCTTTGAGTTGCTCTGCGCAAGCCTGCGAAGTGTTCGGATTTTGTTATTGAATTCGTTGTGAAAATATATAAATGTGAAAATGTATCACCGATATTATTTCGTATTTTACATTTGAACTTTATTAACGTTAACACATAATAAATAAAATGTCCTTTGTTAAGATCGCTAAAGTTCACGTTATTCAAACGTACCGTAGACGGACGATTTCGGCGTCTGTGCATTACGATTCTGTACGGTTAAACATGTGAAAAACCGAAGCCCTCCACCTCCCAATTTGGTGAACTATATTAATTACAGCTAGTGATGTCTCGGCTGTCGCGTCGCTCGCGCTAAGAGCATTAGGGGCAACGCTCTGCGCCCCCGAACAAGCAAATTAGGTATTTAATTCCCGAGTCCCGTACCGCCGCGCCGTCCGGGCCAGACGCGACGCCGGCAATTACGCGCGCAATCGCGGATTCATTTTGCCGCCAATTTCACCTGGCGCGAGCGTGCGACGCCGCCATGTTTGTTTGTTGTCGACAATGCCGTTGTGCTTTTGTTTGCCCGCCATCGGGAATGTCGGATAATTGAAACCCCCAAAATGTACGCGCCTCTGTACAATCCATCGGGTTAATTGATTAAAAAGTTTGCGCACAACTTTTTATCGCCCCTTTTTCTTTTTTCAATTTTTGTTTGCATAAAAAAGAATAGCGTTGTCACTATCGATATTAATTTCAGTCGCAATGAAAATAGATAGTCGGAGATATAGGATGTGAACGTTTTGCATCGCCAAGTAAGGAGTTTTACTTGAAAAATACATTAGAAATGTTCTGTTTATTTTTATCATTCGGAACGTGTGCATACCTCATCGAAAAAGGACGTTGCGTTGGTTTGGTGTCCCAGTTGTTTAGTATATGCTTGTAACAGGCGTGCGATAGCTTTGCTCTATATTATGCTAGGGACAGTTCGAATAACTGTTTTTTATCCAGCGGGAGCCGCGACTAATGAATAATATAGCGGGAATGGTCCGACTTATTCACCCATACACTCCCCCCCACCTTTTAGTTTTATGGTACAGTGGGCGAGAAACAATACGCATAGGAAACGTTATGCTTCCTCGCGAGAGCCGCTTCGGCGAGCAGTGCGTTCGCGCAATGGACCGTTACACGCGTCGTCGGAAGTAATATGGAGTTTACGACGGCGAATAAAGGGTTGCTGAGTCTTATCGCGGGACTGATGGGCCGTTTATCGGAGGCGATATGCAACGTAGTAACCGGGCTTATTATATTAACCGAGAAATATCGCACACGCTAAATGCTCTCGGGTGGCGACCGCTTACGGTCAGTGGTGGAAGCGCGGCCTGCTGGGTTGTGTCGTTTATGAACTTTATTTATTACTTTAAAGGCACTAACGAATGATTGGACCGTATATGTTTTGTCTTTGTAATACTTTAGAATGATACATTCAGCTTTGTGCATAAGATTTTTTTTGTATGTGAGAATTTTGCAAGCGGTTCATCTGATGTTAAGTGACAACCGATGCCCATTGACATTTGCAACACCAGTAGGGTTGCAGCTGCGTTGCCACCTTACAATAAAGTGGGCCCCGGCTACGTCACCAGACGAAACGCAGAAATATGACACTTCCATTTAACTGCGGTCTTCTATGAGATTGTGTACCGGGATGGATCTGCCCATTATTGCAAGTATGTTGCGTGGCCCTACCACTGGAAATGCGGCTCTTTACTATCTTGCTAGAGCTGGTTGTCCACGGCATTATGTCTTGGAGTATAATGTTTGGCAGTAGATTAGTTATTTTCATTTGTATTGCGTCTGGCGAGCCAAGGAACCTATTAAAGCAACTGCAATTTCACTGGTGTTGTGGAAGCTAATCACCGACCGGATAACACTTGACTGCAATCCTATTTCATAGTAATTTGTTGATAGCATGCTAACTCGATAGAAACCTGCTCACGATAGATGGATTGTAATAATACGGGAATGTCTGTCTGAAAAAAGATTACATGCGTCTGAAACCGACTATATTTAGCTATGTTTGTAGCCCTAGACTCTGATGTTTGCGTGTAGTAACTTCCTGAAAACTCAAACTCTAAACTTCAACTTGATATTGTTTTTATTAGTTTACCACTAGCGTGACCAATATCCAGCACTTTTTACTTAGCACAAGGACTTGGCCCATTCCGAGGGTCCCGTTGTCCAGAACGTGTATTCCTTCTATCGCCCAAGCACATACATAAGGTAGATACATAATGCGTACCAAGGCATGCCAAGCAGATACATAAGGCGATAATGTCCGAGTTAATCGCCCGATCCGCACCAAACTCGCACTGGTAGTGAGCAACATCAAAAACTGGGTTGCGCGTACATCACTCCGATAACGGACCCAGAGACGACGCGTTTCATCACAATTAAGATTGCATTCGACAAATTTATTACGGGGACCGATTTAGAGCGACCAACTTAAGTTCAGATACCGCCAAGATTCGCCTGTAATATTGCGATAGAGGTATAATAGCTAGGAGCCAGCTTGGCTTTTAGTAGACGGGCGTATCGTACTGTTATACCCTTGCCATGTTCGGGATTGGGCTGAATGCACTGCCCTCACATCTAAACTACCACATCAGCACTCTCATACACCTACATAACAACCGCGGCGGACCACGCCCGCTCTCTTACTCTCCTATCTCAAGGCCGGTCGCACGTCTACTAAATCCATTTTTTTATGCGAGAAAGTGGTAAACGAGCTGGCGGTTCATCTGATGTTGAGCGATAACCGCCACCCATGAACATTGCAACACTCGTAGGGTTGCAAATGCGTTGCCACCTTTAAATAAAGTGGGCCCCGGCTACCTCACTCACCAGACGAAACGCACAAGTGTAACCTACTTTACGCCCATCTTCTGTGAGGTCGTGGTACTCACCCGGACGGACCTGCACATTTGGGCAGTGAACACTGTTGCGGGGCCCCATCACTCCAGTTCTATGTTCATTATACTTTGACGGTTACTAAATCCATTGAAGCTCTAAGTTATTCTAATTCAAGTGTATTGCGACAATTATGTTTTAGGTTAATAAAACAGTTTTTTTTAAACCTAATCGCGAGTTCCCGTATAATGGAATGTCTTCGTGACGTCAGTCTGGCGGCGTCGCTGAAGATGGTTTCGTATGCGTTGCAGGGCGGCCACAGTTACGTGTCGCAGCAAAGCCAGAGCCCGCAGGCGCGGCCCCAGTACCCGAACTTCCCCTACAGGGCGCAGCACGGCACCAGGCCAACGACGCACCCCAGGTAAAAATCCAATTGTGTCAATGTAAAGTAACAGCCTATATATGTCCCACAGCTGGGCAAAGGCCTACTCTGTACAGAGGCCACCAAGCGGCCTCACTGCGGATTAGCGGCCTTCACAAATCTCAGAAATTTCGAAATATGTTTTTTTTTTGTTGTAATATCGACAATATTCATGTTTCCTCACGATGTATTCCTTCGCCGCTGAGCACGTGATAAGTCAGCACTTGAGCAATTTCATCGGTGCCGGCACCGGGATCCGAACCGTATTTGAACTGCTCGAGTATTGAATTAAAAACGAGTGCCCCCACTGAGCGGCGATTCGAATTGTGCTGCTAATCCTGACAAATCTGTGTAATAAATAAGTGTACCGCTTTTTCGTAATTTGCTTATATGCCTAAAAGTAAGTTTCAAATTCAATATAGGTATTAAATAATAATCATTTGACATTATTCCTTGAATTGTGGCACGTAAAAAGTCTTACGTATTTGATGGCTGTCATGCCAATCGGCAATTACGAAAGCTTTTACAGTTTTTCTCCCGACTTGATTCTGAATAATTATATTTGTAACCTAAATACTTGTGTTATTGCACTAAATAGGACACACAACGCTACTGAAATGTTACAAGAAGAATGATATAACAAAGATCTTTTCTAATAACACTGTTTACTTTAAAACTTATTTACTCGCACATATTCATACGGGCAATTTAAAGTAAAAATTGCCTTTGCAATAGCGGAAAAGAAATTAGAGTAGGCTGTAAATACTTTCAGAAATTTCGTGCCTTTTACGTCAGCATAGACACCAATGTAATAATGGCCTATTCATTCGTCGCAATGGGCATATTCCCGAAGGATATATGCACTTCAATTATCTTCGAAGTGCCCTAATAGTTGAGTTAAAAAAAGTTATTGCATTTAACGTTTGAAATAAAAATAGCATTCATACATTATAGCTATACTTCTGTTTTTCGTCTGGTGAGTGAGGTAGCCGGGGACAAATTTATTATAAGGTGGCAATGCATCTACAACCCTACGGGTGTTACAAATGTCCATGGGCGGCGGTCATCACTTAACATCAGGTGAACCGGTAGCTCGCATGCCACCTTCTGACATAAAAAAGCAACATTGCGCTTATAACTTACGAAACGAAACTACATCTACAACGTTTTGTACTTGTGAGGTTCTTATCAAATCTCCTCGGTTTCGCAATATCGAAATGTCGATTTACCACTTGCACGATAAAATAGTTCGTAGGTATGAAGCGAGAAAAAAAAAACAAGTTTGTCGCCACCACCAGACTAGCAGGACAGCGACTTTCGACGCGAAGCATGTGGTAGTTAGTTCGAATTTTGTCGTGTATTTTTTCGCGACACTTGCGCCACGTTTACAGTGAAAACATGTATATAATACGCACAAGATGATATGAAGTATTTTTGCATATGCCGTTCTTACTTATAACCACGATTTGTGCAAGGACGCGGTGGACGTATTCAAAAAATTGTGAAAAAGCTGCATATTTTGCTTAACAAACTCCACAATCGTGTACATACCTTAATTGCTAACAAAACACGAGTCGGGACGGTGTAAAATTGAAACTAACGAACCGCGCCGCTTCGCTCGGCCGTCGAGTGCCTATTTTTTTATTTTGTTCAGTTATTTCACACCGCGGACGTGAACATAATGTATTGAATTTGCCCACCATCTCGCTGGAAGTAATAACTGCAAAATGCAACGTCAGATTATTGTCTGATAGATCTGTCATCGGAACAGAATACGGTGGAACCCTTGAGACACCGTGACAGAAGGTAACTGTGGTAGGACCGCGCAACAGTCTTCGCCGTTGCACGGATGGGCAGATCCGTCCGGGTGAGTACCACGACATCACAGACCGGCGTGAAGCCGAAGGGTTATACTTCTGCAACCCCACCCGGTTGCAGTGGGCGGCGGCTATAACTTAACGTCAGGTGACAGCTCGTTTGCCAACTTTTCACATGAAAAATAGAAAAAAGAAAACAAATTTGTGACAATTAAGTCATTGACGCATATAATAAAACGACAATGTTATTAGCATATATAATGAAATTCTCCGTCTAATTGTGAAGCCTCGAATGGTATACCGATTTACATAATTGTGCTACTATTCATAATATCCAATCAAGCCTACCGTGCCAATTCAGCGCGGCCTCACGTTTCAACTAGTCGACAGGCGACGTCACCCCTGAATACATGTGACATTATTGGCACATTCATTTACTCAGAGCTACCGCCCACCGCTATAGCGGATTTAACGATAACTTTAGCTCATTAAAATGTCCGTTTTTTGTTAAACGAATAAAAACAGACTTTCGGCGCCGAGGGAATCGAACCCGCGCCCTCTTAGTAACTCGACTACGAGCGATTTCTCAGAAATTGATTCTGTTCAATCGTCGTATAAAAATCGCATTTTAATTTTCTAGCAGTAGGGACTAGTACTAATAAATTACCAAGATATCTATTACGGTAATTAATTTCTTACGCCCTTCGTTCGCGTGTATGTTCCCCTCCACCCCGATATGGTTAAAACATTTGTCAGCTCATTATTTCTTAGGTAAGATGCCTAAAGCACCACCGGAGTTGAAAATGTCCATTGCCGGTGGGGATCACTTACCATCTAGTTCATTAACAGATCACTGGCTTTTTGCAAACAAAAGATTTGCTTTAAAGCTAGCTTACGATCCTTCAGTAACTTAAGTTGCTTGGACATTCGTAAACTAGAGGGCATCTACGTCCTCGAACTCAAGCCTACCCACAAACTGAACAACTAACAATACTTCAGTTACTTCATAAATAATACATCTAAAAAGTAGGTTCAACTCTTCGCAGGTTATCGACTTTAAAAATTCTCTTCGCATCGGACTCGGTTTGGTTTCCAAGTGGTGGTATTATATTTTAAATCCGTTTTGTTTTCTCGTTAATAAATATGTTATTTTATCAGATACTTCTCTGAACCAAACGCAGCGGCAAAAGCTGATGGGAGACACATTTTCGTGGAAAGTTGGCAGGCGAGCTGGGAGTTCAGTTGATGTTAAGTGACATATAAGTAATTAATAAAGTGGGCCCGGGCTCTCACCAGACGAAACGTAGAAGTATAGCACTTCTTCACTTCACGCCTTCTGTGAGGTCGTGGTACTTACCCGGACGGACCTGCCCATCCGTGCAACGGCCGAAGCTGTTGCATAGCACTACCGCGTGAACATTCGAGGAATATATATTCAAAAATGTCATTATTACCTGGCGCAGACAACAGCAGCCTTATCTGGGCAGCGCTGGCAGTGGCTCAGCCGGCCCGGTGGTGTACCACCACCCCACGCTCCTGTTCCAGCCGCACATGGGGCTGCCGCAGTCCTACCCGCAGCCGCGCTCCACCACCAGCGGGTAAACACCACTTGTACCATACACCCGCACGCCACACCACAACACACCAACACCACCGTTGCATAAACAACGCTTGTCCGTCCAAATAAGTTTTGTTCGATTAATTTATTTGGCACTAATGGTTAATAAAAAAACGTCTACTATAGTTCGCCCCAAAATTGTTTCGAAATAATGAGAAATGGTAATCACTTTTTAGCACACGCACACATTACGTATTATTCACAAAATGATGACTATCAAAAAAATGCACGATTTTCGATGAAAAGATTTACTCAGATAGTGCAATAAAAAATCCACATTAAATAATTACAAGAAACTAAGTGTTGTTTTTTACACAGAGTGGATACTTATTGTACATTTTTTCTCAGACTAGCAAAACATGGCAAATTTTTCCTTCTTTACATAGTGTATTTTGCTAGAAAATCGAGCAGGAGTTATTTATGTTCAGTCCTGTTATCTGTAGTAATTGTTCATATTACTTTAAATAGTTCTAAAATAATGTCTTTCGTTTTCATATAATGAAGTATTAATGTAACTCATAGGCAAACATGAATCCGCAATAATAAAATAAATATATAAGTACCAAAACAAACATAGATATAAGAAATTAAATGAGTCTGTCTACTGTTGTAGCTGCTATTTATTTATTGAAATCTAGCATATGTATCATTACAGGAGAAAGCGCACCTAATTTCTGATACTTGTAAAAGGTCAGATTTGATAGCAACATCTTTACAAATACATGAATCTTCAAAATATATTTGATGTCTCTTGTGCAAGATAACAGCATTTCAATAACATTGATCTATATACTAGTTATAATAAAAACGTATGCCTTGTAAAAGAAGAAAAAATACTGTCACCATGTCCAGGCATGACTTACGCCCGGTTTCTGAACCACTGATTATCGTAGATGTCAATTAATCAGCTGTCAAACGGCTCTTCAAAATTCATTTTAGTTGCCAATAGGATGTTTAAACTCTGATTTGATCGGAATGGTCTTCCTAATGAACAGCATCATCAATTCAGAGAGTTTAACCATCTTTGGTAACTAAAATGCAATTTGAAAAGTGATAGCGCTGTTATTAACACCTAAGAAGGATTAAAACAATAAATTTTATGGGAATAATTAGCATAAACTCCAATGAGTTTATTCGCTTTGTACAACGCATTATACAAGTCTCGTTAGTATGTGTGAACAGCTGAGCGCTGCGAATTAAAAAAAAAAAATTTTCTCCGAACATGATAAAATTATATGAGAATAACGAAAACATACTTCATTATCGGCCACACTTTTTAATAGATAAAATGCACATCGACAATCTTGTGCTTAAAATATTTTTGTTCATCATTATCGTTAAAATTAATATTCTTGAGAGTGAAAGTAAATTGTTTGTTAATAGGCACATAATGACTTGTTAAGTGGATTGTTTATTCCTAAAGCAGTATTCTCTGGGTGTCATGATTGAAATTATGTCATAATAACGATATTAATATGATCATAATCTTGATGATTTGTGACAGTATGAAACTTTTGCTAAAGGGACATGCAAGGAAAAGGCACATAATTATTATTATGGTAACTTGCTGAATTGGAATCCATATAAATATTAAAACAACCACTTATATGATCCAATGTAATGTCTATGATAACCTAGGAAACATTCGAATGTCATATGTTTCAGAAAGGAAACTAAATAACAATGTTTTGAAAGATATAAGATTATTAAAGTTTGTATGTTCTGGAATAAAGTCTGGACTTTAGTGGAACTGTTTATTTGCAACTAGACGAGGAAATACCGTGAACCAGTATTTATTCATCAGTGTTTGCCCTCCTTCCTAATCCAGTTAGCCACTTTTTTATATATATATATATATATATATATATATATATATATATATATATATATATATATATATCATAATAAATATACAATATATAATAAAAATATATAAGTTTCAGAGTATCGAAAATGTGCGCTTCAATCCCATTATAGCAGTGTAGTCTCGGTAAGCCGGCTTGGTAAGATGTCTCCTGAGGTAAAACTATAACGGAAACACCACGGAGATTGAATGATAAGCGGAAATGGCATTTGTCAATTCCGCAACTTTAAGGAGATTTTTCAGACTTTGCCTCGTGAGCAAATTCTTCGACGGGGCGCCCGTAGTCGTTTGGCACGACTTTTTAAATATGTCGTGTATTATATTTTGCCTATTGCGAATGGCGTGTAATCGGTTTTGGACGGCGAACTTTGCGCGGGAATAAAATATCAAAATTACAACGCTTACGCAAACAGTAAATACAATTGAGAGCAAACATAATTGCGCGCGATTGCTACGTTTTCTTTTTCTCAATGTCATGTTTACGTCTATGAAAGTATTCGTCCCAGCATGCGAGAGATGTGTGTTTAAAAATATACAATAATATTTGTATTACTGTCTTAATCGTTTGCATCCCTTGTTTAATACACATACAATCATTACACTAATGGCGCTTGCATCGCTAAGTAGGCATAACTGTGGCACCTCGATGAATAACTTTATCGGCGCTGTTTCTTAACTACTCAGCAATACACCGTGAAGTCTCCACCTTTGGCTCTTTAAATCAACTAAGCTCCAATTTTCCACGTCGCCACCACCTCAATCTCGTATAAAATATATCGCTCATAATAGCAGCCTTTTGCGTCCGTCCTAAGGTTTTCCAAAATAATTTAATTGAATCGAGTTTATTGTATAAAATTTTATCTAGTCTATATTTTTTATTACCCTGTAAAGAGAAGGATGAGAACTTCGACCATAAATTTTTCCTTTTTTATCTATTTTACAACGTGGCAACCCATGTGTAAATACGGCGGTTCATTCAAAATTTTATTAATCTGTCCCAATAATTTGTATATTTCGTTTGGCTGAAGTATGTTTCTTGATACGACGAAAAAATATCTACAAAACTAAGTGAACACACAAGCGAGTAGTTTTCGGCAAAATTACATTTTCACAGGCCAAAAACTATTTTTGTGTGGGGAAAAAGCTATTTCTATGGAGAAACCAAAGAAACTCATAGAATTCGTCACAAGAAAACATGCAGTAGTGCGTCGAGAAATAACAAGAAGAGTTTATAATACACATGGCAGAAATCGGTATTCACACATATAGAATGCACACACTCACAAATATAGAATGCACACACCAAAGCATCGATCGAATTGTCAAATCGCAGAAGTGGGGTATCAGGCCGTCAGATCAATAGTGGCCTAAGCTTGATATAGATAGTACGAAAATAATACGAAAATATTATTTATACCTATTAAATAAGATTTTTGTTATGGTGCATATTTTATTCAATCACTGTGTTAAATTTCTTGGGATGAAGTAGTTTATTTCAGAATACACATTTTCGGATTAATTTTGTGGCTTAGGCCACTTTTGCTTTCAATCTATTTTGGTATGTCCACTATTATAGGCACGGTTAATTAAACAAATATAATTACTGAAAATTAACTTCTTCCATTTAACAAGTACACGAAATTGAAAATTAATATTTTAACAAAGTAAATAGAACTTATCCTAGGCATCAATTTGGTCTGTCATTGAAAATTATATAATATTCTAGGGCTGAAGTCTTTAACTCTTTGTGAAAACGGTGATGTATAGATGGTATAAAATTTAACAACTCTATTAAATCTTCCTTATTCTTATCACTAGTGACATGGTTCTCAGGATATAAAACATTTAGGTTTTCAATGATGATTTAATTTCGTTTCTTTAGGGTAAGAATAGGTACATCATTGTTATTGGAGTATTTGAAATAAAAACTAAATGGATGCATTTTATGAAACAATAATTCTTTATTTCTTTGTATTCCGGGCTCAACTCTCGTTGTATCTTAATATTTTCCTTGCAAACATGTCTTCTTGTATTTTCGGACTACCAGCGACATTGTCACTATCTTGCAAAATGTCATCCAATACTGATGACAAGTTCTGTTCTGACAGACAACATTCCGACCTCGAATCTTCGTAATCAGACCCGAAAATCACTGAAACGTAGCATTTTTTTTTAAGTAGCCCTTACTCTAGGATAACATTACCCTGTGTTGTAAGGACGTTTTATAAACGGTAGTAAGGTTCACGCGGACACCCAGATGCGAAACAACTATCTGTGGGTCACACAAATAGTTGTCTCGTGTGAGGATTTAACCCACGACCACCGACACCGAAGCCAATACATTGGCAACTGCGCCACGGAGTCATCAGCATTAGCATAGAGCATTATTTTAATTATAACGTTTAACACCATAACACATACGATAATCGCTCATTTGCCGTACTCACATCGCATATAGTCTTCTACAACTTCTAGATCTGCCATTGTTAATAGAAAAAATCCACAGAAAATCACAATCATAAAGGAAAAGGATTGCAGAAACTGGTCAACAGTTTTAAAAAGTTTTTAATTGACAGCCTATCCCACCAAAATATATATTAGGTACCAGCCTAAAAATGACCTAAGCGGCTTAAGCTTATTTTGCATTATCGGCAGAGTAAAAACTTGAAATGCAAAAAGTAACTTTACAACGTCATCTCTCGACGATTGGTGAAACAAGAGATAGGCCGCTTTTGCATTGATGTTAAGCACTTTTTAAATATAAGTGGGAATATGAAAAATTGTGGTTTATTGTTATTTAAACCTCTATCATTAGGTCAACTTTAAGTAAATGTTATACTTTTTGGGCTAAATTTAATGGTAAATAAATAATTCATTTATTTATTTGAATAAGAAAACAAATAAAACAATTTTTTTATAAAACCATACTATGCTGTTACAACGATAGATCAACTGTTTGTTTTTATAGTGATGTGCCAATAATAGCAGGTAAAAGTAACTTAAGTAAGAGTATGATCCTATTAAAAGAAGTCTGCGAGAAGGTCACAAAAGATGACTGGGCGTAGGAAGAAGTAAGTCAATAAAAAGTAAAATCTTGTTTTCCTAAATTGACTAAA